TGGTCATTAAATGGCCCAGGACCGAAAGAGTTTACACGCGCTTTTAGTAGCATCATTAACAAGGGACTTCCACGACGGTTGTTCGGTGTTCGTGTCTTTGTTATAATGGGATGACAGGGCGACAGTTAAATAGGTGACATATTATGCGATAAAGTGCAAGAAAGGACGATTGAATGCCCTACGGTGGGAGAAGGGTTGCTCCGATACGAAATTTTTAAGTGGTAGAACCGGACGACCGTATGTTTTCTCAGGCACAAAAGATTTGCGAGCGCTTAGGTGGCCTGTGCGCATCCATCGGCTTAGAGAACGATGTGTTTCCTAAGAAAGCAACTTTTCGGGGAAGGATATGTGTGAATTGGCAAAAAGTTGCCTTTGAAGGGGCGGTGGGATGGACAACACGGAACAGAATCGCCATGTATGAGTGGTAGGCATTTGTTGAGAAGTGTAGCACGGTGCTGATTCGGTCACCACAAAATGTAGGAAATCCGGTACCAGCACTGTGAGCAGGTTTTTAACTTGTGCAAATTTTATGTACAAAGCAAGTGCACTTTGTGGTTTTATAGAAAATAATACTGTCGTGGTTGCAGTGCTGTGCAGCTCCCGCAGCAGGCCTTGCATTTAGCCGCTAAGTCGCAGCTGGATCTGCTGAACTCCGTTGTTCCACCGAATGTTGCACTAATCCCTCCCAACACTTCTGCATCGTGTATGTTTGTTTTTATTTCGTGGCACTTCATTGTCGCACCCAGCTTGGGCTCATCGGTCGTTGATGGTTGGGACATTTCACTCTTCACTCGTGCTCCTACCTTTATAAAAATTCACAATGTTTTGAAATAGCGCTGTCCTGGCAAATTTTTGAGGGTATTGAATTACACTGCACTAAAATATAAGGCATTGTTAATTAAATTTTATTGCTTGCTGGGAACAGTCAAAGCCCCCAGTTTTCAGTACGTTTCTCTGTCTTTTATGAAAACAGCCTGGGTGAATTATTATGAATGCTGTTGTAAGCCAATAATTATTAACTGGTGCTCTTCACAGATATCATGATTCACTTGCCGATTCTTCTTTCGTCTGTGGCTTTTGCTTCAGCAACTGTTTTTTTCTAGCAAACGCCGCTGCTGCTGTGCCAGTTGCTGCTGCTGCTGCATCAAAGGCCGTCCCAGCGGCTACGGCAATGTCCAAAATGTCGTTCGTAATGCCAAAGCATGGAGTCACCCAACCTTTTACTGGCGTTGCTGCAAAGCCGGTTTTGCCATTCACAGTCGGTACAACTGCTAAACGTATGTTATCGTTCACTGTTCCTGCTCCATTCGAAATTTTTTTTTCTACTCTGCTGCTGTGTTTTTATGCCAGTAGGTTCATTTATTTCAGAAGTGCAAAAACAGCCGCAGCAAGTACAGCTGACTTCAGCTATGGCAACTCCTGTCAGAGCTCCTCACGCACTTAATACACCTACAGCAGCTACAACAGCAGCAACCCCGGCTTGGACTCTAGGCGTCTTATCGCAAGCTGCTGAAACGAAAACTTCGTCGAAGGCTGAAATAGGCGGTAAAATTGCCATATGTTGTATTAACACCAGGTGGTCTAATTCCACGGGATACAGTTATACTTGGCAGTGGTTTTATTTGCTTTTGAGGAAACGCTTAGCAGAAAGAGTTAGCAGCCAGGTGTTCGATACGCTGAAATTAGTTCCTCTGTTTTAGCCGTGTCTTCATTTGGAGCTGCTTTTGAGTTTCAGCCACGCGGTTTCATTCGGTGGTAACTACTGCCAACAAGTTCTCTGGTAAAGCGACGAAAGAGGATGAACGTTTAGAAAGTGGTCGTGAAATCAAAGGCTTCGGTGATGAATTCAAACCCCCCGCTGGCAGGTAAATTCATCAGCTCATCTTTTATTGACGCCGCAGTGCTTTGCTTCTGACGATTCGGTTGCGTGTAAAGTTGTATCATCGCTGATCTGCTATTATAAGAGTGTTGTATCAAGCATTCCTTCGCAAAAATGCCCGCGATTCGAAATTTGTTGAACAATGTGGTTCAGTCTTTTCTTTTTTTTCGGGATAATTGTGTGCTTCCATTCGGCTTTTTTCCGATGCAGTCCATTCGAAAGGACAGTTTTGCTGAGCCAGTAGTTGTTGCTGTTGAATTTGTGCCATTCGGTCACGCTGCATTCTTCCTCACTAGTAGTTGCCTGTTGTTGCGACTGCCTACACGCTGCTGCTTACAATCCCTGTCCGAGGTGCACCGGTAGTCAAAATCAGAAATTTCAGCTGGACATGCATCTTTTGTTACGTGTTGAGTGGGCAAATTCCATGTAACGCTTATATTGTGGTTTGCTTAAGGATAGCAGCAGTGGTATTAGTACCACGTAGCAAACTCGTACCATTCCTAGGTCCACCTCTACATCATGTGCTGTTTGCCTGTCATCTTCCATATTCAATACGACTATTGTGATCTGAAAAGACAGTGATCGGGGAAGTGTTGACGTTTAAACGCTTAATAATCTGGGAACGACTAGCTCTGCTAATTCACTGGGCCGGATCGTTAAACTGGTAATCACTTCTGGAGATCGATACGAATGTCGATAGAACCATCAGACTGAGCACGTGGTGATGCAGCACTGGTCAGAGCATCTGGCAATTCTGCTGCCTGCATCGGTGTAGAACCAGACTACCGCTCGACGCATCCCAGATGTTCAATACTGATGAGTAATATAGTTTCAGCAAGCCAACTTCAGCTGTCCCGTCAGTAAAAGGTAGCAACAACATCTCTGTTGATTCTTATTTTTACATGTAGTATATATATTGCATATATGTGCTGTATACACATATATACATTGTACATGTATATCGTATATAT